TGAATGATAGTCACAAGTGTGGTAAAATAGTTTATGATTTATGTATGTAATTGTTACTTTTCCTTAGAATTTTTGATGCGGAAGATTATTCTGGAAATATTAGTATAGTAGGTGCTCCTTTAATTCATATTAATTTATTAATTTAGCAAGGCCACTAGTATACATTCTATAGTTACCTTATCTCACTAAGTTTCAAGACAAGAATATCTTAGGTTTGTTTAATTTCATGTGAAAAGCTAAATTCATTATTCAGGTTGTGATGAACTGAAACTTTCTTGTTTAAAGCTCTTGTTAAGGTCAGTTTAATCATAGTATTTTAATTTATTATCATCATTTGTCATTATACTTCACTTCAAATAGCATTGAATTTTTTTGTGAACCTGCCTTCATCATGCTGGTTAAGGAAGGTATGTAGTTCCTTTGCTTATGTAGAATTTATGCCTCATTATAGTTATGTTATGGAACTAAGCTTTGTAGGACTATGTGTGACAAGATACCTTTGAAAGATCTGCTTCACTACATGGAACCGAGAGTTCATTAATGTTAGAGATTTTGGGAAATTAATTTCTCAGTAATGTAAGTTTATTATTTTAGTGCCTTCTTAATTTATGGCTCTTTAGGTGTCTTAAGTTACAAAACATGAAGTGTCTTACTTGTGGAACATTGGTAGACTATGATAAAGAAAACAATTATAATCTTTTTTTGGTTTTAATAATAATTCCAAATCATTTTTAATTAAAAATCATTTTTATTAATAATGAATAATAATTAAGTATTAATTAAGCATAACAGGAAGTACGTCATAATGAGGCTTGATGAATATCGTTATCGTTGTCGGATCAGGTCTGGCACCAGCATAAATCGTGGCTGATTCGTCAATATCGGATCAGGACATTGCCCCAAATCCTCGGTCCAGGCTCGATCATCAGTAATGATTCAGGCCTGTATCAGGACTGGTCCATGTTCCAACTCTTGGGCGTGTAACAGTGCTGTTTGCACTGGTGTATCATGATTTTATGAAGATGGCTGCCAGTCACATGGAGGGAACCGGAATTGCTTTTCTTGAGTTTTCTAAGGCTTACGAAGGTAATAGCGAAGTTGCAGCCTATTCTGACAGTATAAAAGATGAGTATATAGGCTGTTATAAAGTTGGGAAAAGGACAATTTCTGAAGATTGCCATTTCAGTGGTCATTTTTGTGTGAAACAAATTATACAA